AGATCATAGCTGTCGTGTGTCAAGATGAACAAAAGACCCATGTAAAAGAAATTCGAGAACAAATAATTTTCTAATTCTAACGGTTGTTTACATCAAACATAATTAAAAATAGTCCAATTATACATTTATTTGAAATAAAAAAAATTGTAAAATGCTCTAAATTGTTTGAGAAGTTAGCCTTAATATTTCTGAAAATGTTCGAAAATATTCTATGCTTACTTCGATTTAATAGGTCTTAAGGTTCTAGGCTCTGCAGCCCCGGCATTCAAACAAAATGCTTTCTCTTGTATCAGATAGTTGACATCAGCTTCTAGGCTATATCATCCCGTGGAAAAGTGTGATTAAATTGTCATGTAATATTATTTGTATGCATTTATGATTGTTATTACACGGAAATAATACCTTTCGAGTGGTCTTTTTAAACGTAGCTGGTCCATATTCAGGCGTTACAGACGTACTGTACAGAAAACCTGGGAAACTCCACCTTGCCAGCCCTTCTTGGCGAGGCGCCATAACTTCTCAGTGTTCAGGGAACGGGAACTCTTGGCCATTGGTGGGTCTTCAAACGAAATGTTAGATCGATGAAACAGCTCCTCCTGGAGAAGATAGTAGCAGAACACGAAGCAGCCGTCACATTAAAACACATAACTTCTTCACATCAAGATTATAAAAACGATAAATTTGACTGAAAAATTGATAAAAATAGTATACTGCATAAGAAATAACGTCATTGAACGAACAATTAAAGAATACTGTGCAAAAACAAAATATAATGATAATATTAATTTGAACAAAGGCATGACAACGGATGTATGCTGAAATAAGATCGTCCTTGTATAAACTTTCGTTATTCGTTAATCTGTCTACCTGTCATTCTCGGAATAATGGACACCCTATCGACTTACCCATACGATTCGTGCGTTAGGACGCGATCTTTACCCCTCTTATCTGATGTCAGATCCTGACATCCGAAGGATTTTGCAATCCCGAAGACAGTTTATCGAAAAGCCATTTAGTGACACAGTGTGCGGGTCTTGCTACTCGAAGAGTAGAGGGCTTACCATCGCCTTGTTCTCACAATTGTGTTTATTAATTTAATTAGATAAAGGGAGATTAAAGTTAAGCCAAAAAAAGTTAGGCATAGGTTAGAGAGGGGTTAAAAGTCAGTAGATTTTATTCTTGGATTTCAAATATAGATTATTAAAGGAAAAAAAGGAAATTCCAACTATTTAGACAACATATTCAACATATTTATAAGCACATAATAACTTAGAGATTATTAGAGATGATGAGTTAGAGGTTGACAAATAAAACAGGTAAATGTAGGATGGCAAGAGTTCAGACAGTATTATTAGATATTGACAGTGATATTAATTAGTGATTACATGGAAGCTAAAAGAAAGACATGTTTGTGATATTTTAAAACTTCATTCATATTCTACCTTTGATAGTGCAAAATATTATATAAATTACCAAATTATGTAGAGCCAATGTCAATCTAGTTTCTCATGTCAAAAATACAAAATAATTTCATGCCAAATGCTATTTCTCACTATACTAAATGAAGTAAATTTGTATAGTACACTTTATATAGTGTTAAAGTTAATAAATTATTTAAAAAAATAGTTTGTCTTTATCTGAATTAAATTTCAATGGCTATTTAAATGTATCAGAAGAAGAGCTACGGTTTTCCTAATTATATTGTCATACATATGTAATAAAACAAAGCAGTAAAATGCAAATTTTACCATTTCCTATTTATTAAACAGATATATTATACAGGAACATTATATACTAATCTTTCATTCTCAATATGTAGAAATATAACAGTTTTAAACATTATAAAAGTGCTTCTTGTCTCGAAAATTATTGAAACTAATATCTCAAATATTATAGTAGAGATAACAGAAACCTATCACAATGCTACCGGTAACATTAAAATGATAGAAAATTGCATTCTGATGATAGAAGTGTTATTTTTATGTTACCATAGCAGTGTGATAAGTCTCTGTTATCTCTACTACATTATTTGAGTTATTAGTTTTAATTAAATAGATCTCTATTTTAAACATGGATAAATTAAATCGAAAATAATTTTTATTTTCGATTTAAACTAAGACATTAAATGTACTTGAGAGAATAGCGAAAAGACTAGTATATTTATCGACTCTGGTAATAGCATATGATCACAGGGCAGTTTTACCCTAGATTTAACCTAAATGTGAAACGACACTAAACATTATTCCGAAAGGTTGAAATTACTCTAGAAACAGCAGCACTGATTCTAAGGCAGCACTGATTCTCTCTCTCTCTCTTCTCTGGATTATAGTATAAGCGGTAATTGGAACCCCTCCATTCCAAATTGATAATAAAGGCGAACTGTAGCGGACTGTGGCTGAACTGCACTAGGCAGACATCCATAGCAACAGGAAAACCCGTTTCACTTCAGTTAAACGGTTGTTCGTAGTGAATTAGCATATTTGTGTTTTTCGAAATTCGAAAGTTTTCAATGGTAAGTGAATTTAATTAATTATTTCTAAAATATAAATCGTGTAGTTGTAGGTTCACTGGTGCATGTATTCCGTTCCAGAGACTTAGGGGTACATATTAATATGTGTGACGTTCACGTTTATTAAATTTTGGTGTTGACAGACACGAGTTATTCAAGATGGCGATGCGTTGAAATAAGGATCGCATTGGTTCTTTTAATATGGAACCCGTATGTGTAATTATGTAAAAGTATGTGGCAGATGAATGAAAAAATAGAAGGAAAATGAAAAAAGTAAAAACGGTTACTTAACACTATAGAAGCATTATATTTGTGATTTTTGTAAATGATTAGCTTCTTCTCTGTACATTTATTTATTTATTATTATTATTATTAAATCATTCTTGCGATAAAATACATTGGAGTATATAATTTTGTAATTATTTAACATTTTTTATACATTCCTATTTGTTTTTGGATACATTAAAGCATTCTTTGAAAACGTATAGTAAGGTTCCATATTACCACCCGGTTTTCCGTAAGCCTACTTTCTGACGTTTTGTACAGAAGCCTTCAAAAACCATACACTAGTGAAAAATCCAATTAAGAACATTTAGTTTAATAGTTACCAGTACTTTTCGCACAAAAAATATTGGTGCAGTTATGATACCTTGTTTACAATTCACTATAATGATAATGGGGTTCCATAATACCGCCTTCTCTTCTACTATTAAGCACCACTTTGCATAAAACTACTAATAAATATTTATATTCCCTAACTCTAGCAATGACGGAGGAAAAAATAGAAATATACAGAAGTAGGATAGGAGAAGGCTGTTTAAATGCGAGAGATGCGGAGAGCCTACCATCGGCATGGAAATATTTGGTTAAGAAATATACTAGAAACTTCGACCAGAATTAATCCATTGAAAATTTATGTTATTTCTGTTTTAATTAATTAATTTATTTATTTGTTTATTTATTCTTCCGTTATTTTTTACTTGTAAAATTTTTTGATTTAAATATTTTTATGTTCTATTTATGGAACATTTGCGTTCCATTTTTTCGACCTGAAGATGGCCTATTAACTAGGCTGAAAACGTTTGTTTTTGCAAATTATATTTATTTCTCGGCAAAAAAAGGTGTTTTCGTTATTATTATTTAGTTGCTGAGCGCTTTTGGTATTGTTGTTATGGCGGCACCGGTGGAGAATTACAAGAGGTATAGGAAGTTGGCGTTAAAGCTGGTTAAAGCTAGTTGTAAATTAGAATTTTTAAAAGAATGTTTAAATAATAAGGTGTATCCCATGTCGATTTACCGAATTAGCATCCCTAAGGAATGCCGTTCTCTAAAAAGTAGGTTCTGTATGGCNGTGCGGGAGATATGAGGCTGAAAGTGGTTGAAAGTGGCTTTCTATTTCGAATGTTTTGTTCGAATTTGTTCGAATTAAATTCGAACATAAAATTCGAATATTGGTTCGATTATAGAACGATTGTAAACGTTCCAGAAACGTTAAAAATAGTTCGTTTGACTAAACGTAAAAATTCTCTAATTAGTCTGGAAACGGGGGACCTAATTCTTGCATTCTGTGAAAGCGGGTAAGATTGGCTATAATGTAATTATCTTAATCTTCACTATCGTTACTTTTTGCCCAGCGAAGCGGGTCCTTGCAGCTAGTTAATAATAAATTCTTAGAAAATTAATTTCGATCCTACCAACTTTCTAACGAATTCAAATTGCATGTCATAGAAAATAAATTGCCGATCTGCATTAAATGCATTACATGCAAAATGAGTTTGCTTTTATAAAAGTTAAGAGGAATAACCATTAAAAGTAATTTTATTCTAATCGAAAACCCTAAGTTAAAATAGTTCAGAAGATTTAAGTGCATCCATTAGCACTTAAAGCATAGACAGAGCTTTGCATCTGACGAGAGTGAATCTGCACCACAAATCTATTCACATGGAGAATTTATACTTTATCCACAAAATTTCTCGTGTATCCGGAATAAGTTACATCGAAGAACAGAATTTACAGAAAACAAAATTACAATCCAAGTTATACGCCTTTTATCAGTGTATTATCGAAATTTTTTTTTGTTTTAATCTTTTATTGTTTTCCTTGTTCATGTTGGACGTTGATATTATTTGTAAAGATAGCTTCAAATTGCTATCAAATTCAAATATATTCTTACAATCAACTATCATTATGATACTTGCATTTTTCAATTTTCTTTTAGGTTTTTTTCGAAGAAATAGTTTTCCGGATCCGAATGATTATTTTTATGTCATCGATTATAATGTTGCTGGAAAAGTGCTTATTCTGTCTATTCTCGTATTTCTCACTTGGTTAACTTTTACTATAATACGAATATTATACGTTGATTTTTATCTTTATCCTTGTTTCAAAAATGCATCTATACCGAAAATTCTTTTCTGTCATATGAATTTATCTCTTGTATTTATATACGGAAACAGTTTTCCGCTGAGCTTTCTGTTAATTTCTTTGATAATATATATTATGTTACACCATTCATTGCAGCGTTTGCAGCATTTTTTGAATCGAATCGTTAGAAAAGTAAACAGAAATGCTCATCAATTTGAAAAAGTCATTCAGAAGCACTTTCATTTATTGTTTTTTATTCAAAAAATGAACGAAACTGGACAGATTCTTTTTCCCATTTGTTATGGCTTTTGTATATGTTTTACTTGCTTTTCTTTCTTCATTGCAATCATGTTTGATTTGGAGACAAACATTAAGATATTTTGGGTAATCTTGTCCATTATATCGTTATGTATAGTCTTTTTAAGTGCTTATGGACTATCCAGAATTACTGCAGCAATTAGTAAATGTCTATTATTATATTTACTATTGTTAATAAATTTTATTCAATAATAAAACGCTTTTTTTTTGTTTCAGGTTTATGGTAATTACTGTGATTGCAATGTTCTTTCTAATGTTGAGTTTCCTCTTATCTACAAGTTGAAGGTAACTTGATTTTTATTTCTGATAACAATAGGCGTGATGTTGAAGTGTTTCTTTTGTGTCCTAGATCTTGAACTTCATGAAAAGATTTGCGAGATTTCCAATTGGTCTGAATTTCAGAGGATTCTTTTTCATCAAAAAAACATTCGTTATAAGGGTAAGTTATTGCCTTAAAATATTATTATAGTTTTTAACAGCAATTCACCAATTAAATATACAGATATACTATACGTACAGATACAGATATATTATATATAACAGAGGAAAAGTGTAGCGCTCGGTCAAAAAATGACCCCTTCCAAATTTTTACATTTTTGGACTCAGGACACCTTGAAATTTCGAGATATACAAAAGATTCGAGGTTTTTTCTATATGTGTGGATGTTAGACTGTGTGTGGGGGACATGATTTTGTTCACCCTGTTTGAAGCCTAATAATTTCTGTGATCAGAGTGGTGAGAATCGGAGTCAGATGGTTTAACACAGGAGTTAGTTATTAAGCGTCAAAGTGATTGAACTAAATCATGGCCCCATATACATTCTAGTATCTTAGGCGAGAACATCTTAACCGGTTTTACTGTACTATTATAAAATGACAAAAAGCTTACTTTGAGGGTAGAGGCGAGTTTTATTTTATTATTATTATCTTTTTAATTTTGAACGCTAATAACGAGTAATATATTTATTAAGAAATATGACACATGACCACTTTTATGTCTTCACCCTGTCCACCTTTAATTATAAACCAAAATTTAATAGTATTAATGCCCCTTTATACGCAATCTACAGTGCCACATTTCGTTTCTTAAACTTTACCCATTCTGAGATATTGTTTAATATCTCAAAACAGAAAATAAAGAAATTAAACAAATTAGACGCCAACACACACACTTGCGCGAATTTTTCCCCTTTTATTGATTTTTTGAGGTGTTTGCAGTGGTGATATTTAACAAAGGGTTTGATAATAAAAAAGTGTTCAAAATGGCTTATTTTGTACATATTTTAATATTTTTCATTCAAAATATTTTATAAACATAAAAATTGGTTTTTGTAATCAGAAAAAGTCACAGGAAAAGCAGGTTTAACTGCTTTCCTTATGACTTTTTCTCAAGAAAAAACTTTTCTAAATCATTTATTTTATCATTAGGTATTATTATAATAATAGACAGATGTCATCGTCTCTCGAAATACAATATCTTTTTTATTTCGCTTCGATAGCCCGACACGTGCTCCGCAGCCATCTTGTATTTTCTCGCGCGCGTGGGATTGTGGGATCTCTCGTATGACTGGACTTACTTGTTAGTTTCAAGAACTCTCTTCAGTCGATCGCGATTAAACCTCGTTTCAGTCGAGATTGAAACTGTCGATGGAGGTTGCACCAAGGCAAACGGAGTATAAGACTCTAGTTTATTAGTGTTACAGAGTATAATACGTATATTTTAATATATTTTTTAAAAGAAACAAAACCACTGAAAAATGTTACGTGTGTTTAACAACGGGTTCAGGAAACTTTGAAAATGTTAACAACGGGTTCGGCCGAACCTGTGCGAACCCGCTGAATATCACCACTGCGTGTTTGGGTGGTCTCCAAACGTGTAAATTTGTAAAAGAAACTTGAAGGGTCAAATTTGACACGATTCCAATACATTTCCGTTTTATATACATTACAAGTTGCGAAGTAAAAAGGAGTCGGAGTCGGTGGATTTTTTGAGGACTCCGACTCCACAGCCCTGGTTATAAGAGTAAGTTATTGCTTTGAAATATTATTATAGTTTCTAACAGCAATTCACCAATTAAATATACAAATTCCATTTTTAAAATATTGATATTAAATTTGTTTTCTTAATGTTTTTGATTTTGACCATTTTGATTAATATAAAAAATTCTAAAAACGAATTGCTTATTATTTCCAGCTGTTATAACAATTTATTTGTTAACTTTAGAAATTATTAATTATTATGAAATGGCAAATACTTGAATTGTCAGAGTAGAAATGAGTTTTATAAACGTTTTATATTTTAATGAAATGTTCATATTATTGGAGCGGTTTTAGGTAGTCTACAATGCAAAATTGAACTTTTTTTTAAAATTAACGCATTTTGACGCCAACACACAAATACAAAAACACCCGCAAACGCTCACACATAAATCCGCGAATTTTATTTTACTTTTTATTTTTTTCGAATTTAGAAAGTTATATAAAGATGACGATTTTGACATTATTCCAATACTTTTCCGTGTTAAATACATAATAAGTCAGGTGAATGTTTAATTTTAAACTTATAAGGTTTATACTTCATACTTATGAGAATGAAAAGGACAAAAAAAAACGAAGATCCATCGGTTCAGTACGCATTTACTATGGCGTATTTTTATTTTTTTTTCTTTGGTTTGTGAAAGAATCAAAAACGTGTTCTTTTTTTCTATTTGATAACCCAGAAAATTTTGTGTTGTTACTAAAGAATGATACCAAGTTGGCAGGGCGGCCGAGGCGGTTGTTGCCTTTACAAAAGTCTTGATACCAGGGATGAAATCCGATAGATAGAAAAATTCTAGAAATTCTTTATGGTATTTATCTCTCGTACTCTTATATTAAGGATAGCCGAACCCACGATGGGTACCATTAAAAGTTCATCTTATTGCCTTACAGGATAAAAATAATAAAACTTTTCAATATTTAAAAGCAATATTATAATCTTATATTTGAAGTTATAATCTTATTATAATATACGCTTATTTCTATTTTCAGGTAATCAGTGCAATTTACTCACTGCTGAATTCACTGATTGAATTAGAAAGATCGACAAATATGAAGAAATGCAGACACGTGTTAAGTAAAAATGGAAATTTTTCTGAAATTCACAGAGAAATTTACTCCAATAGAACATACTGATATTTTGAAAAAAACGATGTTTTTGTCTTTTGTTTCTTAATTCTATGGTTTATTAATTAAACAAAAAATAATAAAAATTGTCTTAACACTAACGTTGTAACGTGGTTTTGCTAAACAGTTGATATTCGGAGTAGAATATCTCTTTCAAAATTACTCTTTTGGTTCACGGATTAAGAAAAAAAGCAACGGAATACGTTTATAATTCAAATACCAATAAAATAATTAATAATGTTTTTCTGTATTTTGTAAGAACTACGAATGTATTCACTGATAATCCTGTATTGTAACTAGAACAATATTCGTTTAAAAATGTGTTTTTAACAAATAGCTGAAATTAGAGTCTGATTACCGTCAGTATCAAGTCCATTCAGTAGAATATTTGATAAAACTTTAAACTGTGATACGAAATTGAAAAAATATATCATTACAAATGCGTCTTTCACTGTGATGATGTAAATCATATAAAAACAATTAAAAATATAATTTATCAATACGGAAATAGAAGTATTTCTCGGGTATTACAATACAAACAATTTAAAGATTTAAGATATAAAGTAACAATATCAAAATCGCAAGAATAACGACGTATCTGTACGAAAACTAAAAATGATTAGCTTCAAATGTAAACATAGTGTGCATTCAGGTGGCAAGCAGCTAAGCAAGCTAATTGTTTCATATCAAACGGATGCTGTCATAGGCTTGCTTGTTTAGCTACTCGCCATGTATGCATCTAAATCTAGTCTTTCGATCATGCCGCCCTGACGATCGATAAGTAAATTAATGGCGATAGTTTCAGAAACATGCAATCGTTAAATCACAGAATAAAATTTATCCATTGTATTTTGAAGTCACCGATAAGGATTTTGTATTTTTGTAACTCTCAGTCAGCTGGAAAATAAAAAAGACTGTATACTATACCTATCGTAGATTTCACCAGGCCGACTATGGCGAGGTCGGTTGTGAAAGACGGGTTTTTCTATATCCAAGACACGCTTCCCATTAGTGGCGTGTTTTCTAGTGAAACCATGGAAGCTTCGCTTCCCTTGTACTTTCTAAAATATAAATACATATTGTGGAATTATTGTTATGTTTTAAAGTTGTAAAATTTTGTCGGATGGCAAAAAGTTTTTTCTAAGTTAATAAAAGACACAGTCGATCCAAAAAATCTTTTTGTATTTGTATTTGATCCAGAAGCGCATTTTTTCAGTGGATATAAAAGTCCGAAATTCCGGAATGGAAAAGGACGAAGAAACCTGAAGACGGCGTAAGATCCACCAGTTCCAAATTTTTAATTTTATATATTTAATTGAATAATTTCTATGTTTTTTAAGGAATGGTTTAACTGGACGGCCGAGTAGCCTATAAAGGAAAGTCTGATCGTCTAAAGATTTATTCTAGAACACGTGATAAAAATAAATGGTGATTACCAAAAGATTTTTTGGAACAACTGTGTCCTTTATTAACTTACAAAAAATGTTTTAACGTATTTTAAATTACCTAAAATTAAGATTCTATTATAACCGCATTAAATACTTTATTACAAATTTCTATACATGTGAAAAGCAATGATTTGATTGCAATTGTATATTCGAATATAAATTCGTATGTGCATATTCTCAATGGAAGCGCTGTATTGTCGAACACGGGATAGTTTCCACGGCGAAAATATTTGAATCGGGTAAATCAGACAGATTACAGACATTCGCTTAGGCAGTTTACAGAGCACCAACCTCTGGTGGTTTACCTGGTGAATGCTACACACCAAAATATCGTATAACGCTTCCAATGATTCTGTCTGTTAATCACTGGCAGGAAGCTATTTGACTAAGTGCATTGTTTTAAAATTTAAAAGTAAGGAATATTTTATGTTATTTTTATGTATGTATCTTGACAATGCTATATTTAATTATAATTACGTAGTGAATTGCAATATTTATATTCGTGCTTAGACTATATTGGCAAGTCACTCTTAGACATAAAATATATTATAATTAATGACGATGTGAGCAAAGATGTAATAAAAGAATTATACGACTTAATGTCATTAATTTTTACTGTAACAGTGCGAAGATGATCGCAGCTTTTCAACCACGAAACGGATTGTTACATTTGAAAGGAACACTCAGTCAGATGAAAGATTGTCGTCACTACCGTTGCTTTCAATAGAAAATAAGCTTTTAAATACTTTGATGGAGTCAACGACGAGTGATTTTTATAATAAAGTTATTGAAGAATTTGCGAAAAAACATTGCTGAATAGAGTTAGTTTATAAAAAATAATACAAACAAGTTTTTAGGCCTATATCATTGTTTCGTGTCAATGTATCTATTTTAGAATTAAACTAAATAAACTGTTTATTTTTGTTATTTCCAGTATTTGTTTAAAATTTTTATGGAAACACTGCCTTCCTATCATCATATGTCATCACACCCTATTGCTTTCCATGAAAAAAGCTGCATGGGCTCTTTCAAGACTTTTACGGTTTGCAAACAGGAGAATTAAAAAAATCAGGAATATAAGTAGAGAGGTTGCGGCCGACGTTTTCAACGCCAAAACGTGTACGTCGGACGTTCCTGTAAGCCTAAAAGTTTGACAATGGCGTTTGGAACGTCAGTGGAATCATGCTCAACGTTTCAAACGCCATTGTCAAACTTTTAGGCCTACAGGAACGTCCGACGTACACGTTTTTGCGTTGAAAACGTCGGCCGCAACCTCTCTAATAACCAAGTGGACAAACCCACATACATCTTATTTCGTTCGATTTCTTAATAGATAAGATCGATCAAATATCTCTTCAATTTAACAATTATTACTCAAGTTGTAACACAAACGCTGGCCTTAGTCACTACCGTCTATTAATTTAGTATGTTAATCATACAGGATAGAAAAAGGTAATAAATTTGTCGAAAGATTCGATTTCTGACAATTAGCATAAAGAACACCAGGAAACAGATCGAAGTTAGACCACATTTGCATCAGAATCCCCTCGTTCAGCTCCCTTTCGGGAATAGTATAAAAAGAGGTCGCACCCGCACCTCGGCCGATCATCAATAAAAAGTCTCCAGGCCGGTAACTCTATTCGAACCTCCGCTCCATGGACCGCTCGAGACTTGATCGCCGTACCTTCCCGGACAACCTCCATGGTCCACTATAGTCCTGACGACGTCATATAAACAAGACATGATTTATCAGAGGTATTTTTAGCCTAATTGTACACACTGTTGATAATAAATAAACCAGTCGGTCAAGGAAATCTCTTGGTCTAGTATGCGCCTGACCCGACGAAAACAACCTATCCGATACCAAAAGGTCTTACAGTCTCTAATCCCAGCCATCTGTAAAGCATAATTACAAAAATATATCTTGTTTTTGGCCCTAATAAGTGAATATTATATTGTCGTTTTAAATTTAAAAAGGAAGCCAAATCAGCCTGACTATTAGATCTGCGGAATTTGCCCAAGGCAATGTTCCTCGCTCGTTTCTGAATGTAACATGACCTATCAAACCAAGGAAGACGAATCCTCCTATAAGGTTCAACACCTTCAATTAACACATTTAGTCTTCTTGCGATAGAGCATAGCTCGGATAAAATAATACCATAGAAATCGTTAACAGACACAGAATCAAAGTTTATATTCCGGAAACTCTGCGATACGGCGTCACCAAACAATTCTACTTTAGAATCATTCCAAACATAACGAGTCTTGGTGGGACAAAGCCCATCAACAAAGTAAAATCTGTTTCCAGTCGACAACTGTAATTCCACTGGAAAATGGTCCGAAAATGACAGACCCAACACGAAGGGATTCAACCTTATGAACCAGATTCTAAGAAACGACAATAAAGTCTATAACCGAGCTACCCACTTTTGACAAAAAAGTTAGCTCACCTGGGAGTACTCCCTTAGTATTAAGGAGAATAAAATCGTATTCAATCAACCAATGCAGAAATTGTCTCCCGGCCGTGTTGACCTTTAAACCCTTTGATCATCTGACATAAAAAATGTTGGGAGAGGCTACATTCAAATGTGAATCAATTTCTTCACTAATATGGACGTTAAAATCGCCCATTATCACAATTCCATGGTAGTACGAAGACCAAAAGTTCAAAATAGAAGAAAACAAGTCTAAACGTAAGGCCTGCTGTCTCTTTAACCCAGCATATACCACCAGCACCAGGATATTTCTAGGTTCGAGAACCGTGTAAAATGATAAGCCAATCACCATCAAATCAGGGTAAGTTTCCAATAACTTGAAATGCCCTCTAACTTCATCAAAAAAGAATAAAATAGCACTATGGGGTCTACTCGGCCCCAATGGCTTTTCCACTGGAATCATAAAATACCTCCAGTTTACTGGAAGAAAGTTAGCAAGAAAATCTCCATCCACTGAAACCATCCAGGTTTCAACAAGAGCTAAACAAATTAAACCTGGTCGTTTAATCATATAATCCAACAGAGAACACTTAGTGCTAAACCCACAACAATTCCTAAAAAAAAAAAATCCGAATAACTACTTGAACCAAACTGGTCCGGGCACGATGAAATTGAAAGTCTCTCCAAACCGACTCTCCTGCGGGAAGGAAATTCAAACTAAAAAGAAACAGGCACCTCTAAGCGATGGCCCGAGATAGAATACATGAATCTCTTGTCATCTACATATAATACGTCATCTCGCAAAAAAACAGGACGACCAGCTTCCCGGTAGTCTTTTAAAAAAGTAACCAGGTTTTTACGGCGAACACGGGAATTAAACGACAAATCCAGTGCCAACCTAAATTTTACCGGTCTTTCCCTGCCCTCTTGTTGAGTTTTCGTCCGAAATTTTTGCAATAAATAATTTCGACATTTTCAGGACGATAACTGGATGCTATAGAATTTCCAAGCTTTACCTCTCAAACGGGAAACACCAACAATATTATGCCCCGACTGATCAGTCACATCCAATTCGTTAGAAAATAAATTAACAATATAATCCCGCAAATCCAACTCGAGCGGAATACTATGATTAATTA